GATATTATTCACACTGCTGCCACTGAAAACACAAACACTTCTCATAACCTTTTTTTATTTAGACACGGAGAAAGAGCAACCCTCAAACACAGTGGATGCCTGGTGCCAAGGACAGGAATCCAAACAAGAGGTACACTGAGAGCTAATGTCAGTGAAGGGCTTGCACACAGCAAGCCCTGACAAATCAGTCTCCAATATAGACTCACTTGGCAGGATGCTGCACAGGGGAACCTGTGAAGGGAAGCCTTCCCAACAGAATAGGAGGACAGAAACTCTGCAGGCGATCATGTGAGATATCCTCTTCAAAATTTCAAACTATGGATTTAATTTCCAAAGGCAATGACCTGCGCTTATAATAACAGGGAATAGAGTAAACAATTTATTGACTTTCCAGAAACATCTCAATGATAAAATGACAACCCAGATGCTCCCCAACACCCAAGAAAGCCAAGTGTATTATAATTTCTGTTTGCCTTTTACTCTTTAGTCTTCTGTTACTGAGTTCACCAAGTTACAGCTTCTCTCCAGTTAAGGAACTGTAGCTAATAACAATTAGACTTTGAAACAGCTAAACAGTAAATTTTGTAAGGAAAAAAAAATCTGAAATACAAAATGGAAAGAGGAAATCTGAAAAAAGGACACAAAGAAATAAAAGTGATTTCCAGGTCAGTCACTCTCTCTAAAGAACCATTCTCAGTTGTAGAAACAGGTACTGTGACAATCCTTTTGGACACTTCTGGATTTCATCTTCAGCGAAAATTTCTGTTCTGGCTATATTTGAAAAATCAGAAATGCTTCTTGAAAACGCTAAATGCTAATGCTTCTAAATGCTTAACTGAAAACTGACAAGATGGAAGTGTGTGTATCAATGAGCTAGCTAGGCATGACAATCTCATGAAAGAGAATGTTCATATTTCTTGACTGTAGAGTGAAAAGATAAAGGTCTAGAATTAAAAAAAAACTAGGAAAAATTGGTGTGTACAAAGAAATAGGAAAAAACAAAGATGTAACTGCAGCATACAAAACTCCCCAAAGGCAATGAAAAGGTAAGGTTGGAAGTTGAAAAACAAAACTTTCGGAAAGCTTATTAGTTTTAATATTCAAGCAAAACTGATTCAGGTCCCATCACTAACTGTGTGTTGTAGGAAACACTGTTCCCAGTGACAATTAGAAAGATTACTCTGAGGTAAAATCTGGCAAAATCTTGGCAAAGATTTCTTCACAGCAGATGTCATATAAAGGCTCTCAGAGCCTGTTTGCTCTTTTACCTACCATAACTATTGCTTGAAGAGTAAATATGTTTATTATTTATATGAGGGTTTTTTTCCTATCAAGGACATTAGTACTGATGGCTATTTGGGCAATTTCAGAAACCAGTGTGGCTGGAAAGCCTGGAAAGAAAATAAGTCTAAGAAAAAGTTGCAAAAAAGTACCTTTCTTGCAGTGCTAAAATCACAGTCAGCAGTGTATATATTTATAAAGACATATCAATCTACGAGATTTCAAATAATTAATTTTGGGAAAAATAAGATAAATAATCAGTTTAAATGTTGAAATGTTGTTATCCTACAAATCATAATTCAAAATTATTCACCAAATTATTCACCTCAGAATTTTCAAATATATATTTTATAAATGTTTTAATTAGCTACTTTAATCATAATTTAGCTTTATAACTTTTAGAAAATTCAGATATGCTTCATTCTTCAATTGTTCTGTTCAATTTTTGGTTTGTTTGTTTTTCTAAACAATGCAGATTTTTTTTCTCTCAGGCTAATGTCAAAATAAATTTGTATCACTGATCTGGTTGGAAGCCTATAAGGCATAGCACCATAACACTGAACTTAAACATTTCAGGGAAATAACAGCTCAAAGAGTCAGAACAGTGAAAGCAAAATCTGTTTGATCCCCTGTTTTGGTTTGCCTTCCATGCTTCTCATTAGTTTGCAAAATGAAGTTGAAAATTCCTGGTTTATACTGGCATTTCCTTTGACATTAAACATTGTGGTTGACATACAATAGCATTTTTATGACACGGCTAATATATATACAACAACATTTTAGTCACAGGAGTTCATCTGAAGAGTAGTTTGCAAAGGAGTACCGGTCAAGAGTCAACAGATTTGGTGGCTGAGTATTTTGGGCAGAACAGAGAGTGGCATCTTTTTAGCTTAGTCATAATGTTAATCCACAACAAAGATCAAAGGTTTTTAGCTCTTTACACATCTGGTGAAAAGACTCAGATTCAGCTTTTATCTCCTAAATTTAGAATTTACAACTTAAGCTAGCCTAAAAATCAAAGATCAAATTCTCCTAGACTTAATTATTTTTGACAAAAATATGATACTGAAAAAAAAAACCTAAGGAATATGAATAAACATCTGCATCCTAGCAATCATACTGAGTCACAGATTCCGCACGATGCTATACTATCATTAATGAGAACTATTATGCTTAGTGAGAAGAACAGACACCCCACAAATTGCTATCAATTTAAAAACAAAGGTTAGAATGACATTTTATCGGCCTTGTGAATCAACACTACTATGCGACAACCATGTCCTTAGCTCAAATCCACTCATCATTTTCAGTGTGCCACCTCCATCTTCCATGCTACAAACAGATATATTAATCATCTCTCATAGCAGTGAATCCCCTTCTTAATTTCAACAGGGAGGGTTCCTAAGCACTGTTAATTCTTTAATTCTTCACAAGATGTTAACTAAGGTGAAAAAAAAAAAAAATGGCAAATAGATAATTCAAAGTGGTGCAGTCATTCTCCTGCTGACTTTCACTGCTATGAAAAATCCCAGGGGAAGGAATCCTACTGGCAGCAACGATTGTGAGCATTCTGCGCAACAGCAGCGTCCAGCCTAAAAACCTGATGTGATAGCAGGCTTCACCCCTCACGCTGTGAAAGCAGAAGACATCAGGGGCTGGGACCCAACCCTCCTGAAAAGTTGCAAGATTCATTCTCTGGAGAGTTAGGAGGACATAGGCAAGAGTCAAACTTACTCTTCTGGTGAAGTCTTTTAAGGAGGAAGCTTATAAAATTAGACTATTCCAGAACTTCCAACATTTACAGAAGAAAATACCAGTAAATCCTCTATAGTAGTATAGTAGTTTACATTATCAATTCAGTAATGTGACACCTAAATGAAACAGTACTCATGGTAAATACTCTAATGTCACCTTCATGTTTGACAGAATATTTGACAGTTTGGAAGCTATTATTTCAAAACGCACATGTTGAAATTTTCTAACTGACCGCTCATACGTTGCAAAATGATTTTATAATTATCAACCGAACAAGCTAAATTAACCCTGAAACTCGTAGTAGCAAGTATTAAACTGTTCTTACTTATCTATATAGTTATCTGCAAATAGACTTAACCATTACAGTAACAGCTGCCATTCTAATATACTGCACTAGTTTGATTAACACCGCTGCACAGAGCTTCTACATCTGTAGCATCACCTGACCCCTTACCGTGCCATCATATCTGTTTGTGCAAACAGACACCCAGAGTTCTCTCACATTTACACACTGGTGTCAAACATTTTTCAGGAGCTAGGGATTAGGCTCAGGGAGCCTTTTATTAAAATTTCATTTAAGCACAGATGACTTAGTGCAGCCTTGCTTAAGTCTCCTTGTGCTTCAGTATCATGTCTTTAAAATTAGGTTAATAATATATCCTCATTTCACAGGAATACTATAAGTGTAAACACTGTGAAGGCATGAGATACTAGACTAACAAGGTCAAGATGTTCATATCACCTTTATATATAGCTGTGGATACTTATTTTTTATAATTAGTAGTAAAATAGGAATAATTTCAGAAACTTAACATTATCAGGAAAAACACCTTCAAGAGAATCAGTAACATATACAGTGACAAAAAGAAAATACGTGTCTATTTTTCTATGAAATTACTATTCATGTCAAATCTCGATAATGTATTCATCATAATCAAAACAAAGCTTGAAAACTTAAAGCAACACACACAAAATACAAACACAAAAAAAACCAGAATATATTCTGCAAAGCTATGACTACTTGTTAGTCAGTGGGCAAATAACTTTCAAAAGGTACACTGTACCATTAAATATTTAGTTTCACTGCAACCTAGGTTATAACGTCAAGACATTTCCTGTTTTGTATGGTGCATAACCTGAAAGTTTTCACAGAAAAAGTAAATATTGCCTGTTTTTAAGCAAATTCATTTTTAATACTCATAGATGCACATAGGTAATATTTTATGCCTCATATATAATCATGAATATTCAAAACTCTTCAACAAAGAAATTCATGCAGGAAATTATTTCTTGTGGGAATGGCAAGGGCAGCTAAAGTAACCTTTAGATTATTCTTCCCTTCTTTCCTTTTAGAGATGTAATATCCATGAAAGTCTCTCCACAGTGTGCCACATTCTCCCTAATCTGTATAAGATTTGCAGTGAGACTACAAAGGATGTCTTGCCTCAGTTTTTTTGATTCCTGTTTTCATGAAAAACTGTAATCCAGAATGATTTTCTGACAGATTCTTTCTTTTTAATGTCACCAGCTTCCTTTAAATGAGGATTAAATAGTGCAAATTATGAAGAACAGGTCTGCAGAACACAATCATGATGATGACCCAACTTCCAAGGTACATCTTTCAAGAAGTTTAGACTGACTTCAATCAGGTCCCTCAGATTGTTGCCAACATTAAATGTGCTCCTGGAGTTCACCCAGTGTAGTTTCACCCAATGGGAATCCAGTTCACCCAGTCAGTGGACACAATCAGACGATTCGCTGGTCCAAACTAAACAATTAATATAAGTGTAATTACAATTTAAGGTCTATAAATTTTAAAACTATTAGGCTTTGTCACTTCCTAACTTCAGCAAAATTATTCCCAGTTTGTCCACAATAAGTAAAAGCAGCATAAAAGTTTAAAGGAATTTAGTGGAATATGTCTTACACCATTTATCATATATGCAAAAGATTCAGAAACTCACCATATCAGTATCTGAAACAGGTCCAAAACTGGTCACATAGATGTTAGTGAAGACTTCAGTAATACTATCTGATATAAAAAGAAAAAAACAAGCAAACATTTTAAATTTATAGTACTTCTTCAAACTTACTATGAAAAATTATGGGACATTTTGAACAAGTTTCTGTCCTTATTTACTTCTCTTAACCAGTATCCTGTTGTAAATGCTGGGCATTTCTACCCCACTTAACACAGGTTATTGGATAAGAGTTTGTCCCACCGGGTAGTTTGTGTCAGTTAAAGGACTATACAGCCATCAGCAGCTACACATATATAACCCACTTCTCCACCAGCAAAAATAACCACACTGTCTTGGACTTCACATGGCAGTACAGTCCTAAACATAAAATGCCTTTATTGCAGTGGTGTTATCTCTGTTGTTGCAAATCATTCCTATTAAGCCTTTCTAGTTCAAGGCCATTTTCTTTATCCTGAATAGCTTTTTCAAAGCCAAAGACAAGAAGAAGCTTACAAAGCAATTATTGACTATACCAAATGTAAGATTCAACAGCATCCTACTTTTTAATTCAGTATGTTTTTAAGTGGCAAATATTTTAACAATATAGTTCCTTCCCTTGATACATGATGCACCTGATACATTGTTGTGGCACTGTAAATACTATAAGAAAATGTTCTTCCTAATCATTTTAGTTAGCCATGAAATCAGAATATTAAATATTGTACTGCAGGGAAAAATAATTGCTGACTTTTCTATCTTCGATTTTCAATTAGGCTCAAAATGAAACGATATCACTAAGAGGGATAGCACACAAGCAGGAAATTTCTTACAGCAGTTGCCAGCTACTGTCTGCATTCAAGACAGTCAACACAAGGAATTCTCAGCCTTAAAGCCAGTTGCTGGTTGCAAAAGGAATATTTGAATACAACAAGCTGCAATTTGACTTACCCCAGAATTTCCCGTTCCTAAACAGAATACAGCTGCCTTTTATATGAGTGATCCTGCTCTCATATTATGATTTCCATGTTTAATGATAATTGAATATAGATAGCTCATAGTTTCTGTATTCCTAAACCTCGCTTTTGACAAGCATGTGGCATGAGCAGATTTTAATTGTCTTGAGGCCAGTGGTATAATCAGTGCCCTCTATTGGGAAAAATCCGCAGGGCTCACCTATGAGAGCAGATGCTATGCCAGCCACCAGGCAAAGGCAAGACTGTTCCGTGAGTGGCTGCATGGGGAGCAGTGGGTTTTCAAAGGGATGTAGCTGGACCCAAAGCAGAGATTAGGTGATTTAGTACTTTCAGAAAACTTCTGGAGCATGGACGACGCACATTCTTGCACTCTCATCTTTAAGGAAATTGAATTTCCTTCTCCAGCTGAACACTAGACATGTTTATTAGAATGCAGGACCTTGAAAAGCCTTTATTATCCAAAATAATCTTCTTTCCAGGACCATCTCTGCTTTTGAAGGAAATAATAAAGGCTGAATCTTACTATGTGTCATTCTGAAAGTTCAAAAGTACACTTGCCTTGCGTGTCCTGAGAGATATTTATTTGTATGATAGGGACTTTGTAATCCCATATGAAGCATTAATACACAAGTTGAGTTGATTCCTACTCCAAACATCTTATGAACTAATTTTAAGTGGACCACAAGAGGTGCTGAGTCTGCAGTGTTCTTAGTATTCAACAAGGATTAAGTATGGGTCTGGCTGAAACATCATACAGAAACCATATGTACAGTTCAGAAGACTAGTGACTGCATGTTGACTGTGGGAGACTCCCCAGAAAAAAAAGATTATACTCTCCAAATGGTTACCTGGCACCGGCTGAGACAAAATCCGGAAGTGACAAGAGAGCTACTCATCAGGGGCTAAAACAGTACTGCAGAGACTAACTGTGAAATTTGGCCTGTACTATAATAACAACACAAAATATTAATTACAGTCCCATGAAAAACACTGATTTTACGAAAATAAGACTGACAATAAATAATTCTGACAGCAGAAAACCAAAGCTAATACCAGTATTATCTGAACCCTACTATCAGCAACAAAATAATTTGGCAAATCTTTATCTGCACACACATAGGACCCCACTCCCCTAAACAGCTGGAAGCGTGGTCCTCTCAAACCCACCCCGTCACAATCAGTTGTTTGCATTTGATGTATTATTTGGCACACAGATATGATTTTCCAATTTTCATAAACTACACAACGTGGAAGCTTCAGGCTTGCCTTCATTTTAACTCTGAATTTAAAAAAAAAAAAAAAAAAGTCTCTTATTCTATCATATTATTTCTATATATTTCTGGATCCCTCCTCCCATCAGAAATGAGCAAAGACAGAGCTGAAAACAACCAAATGAACTGCAACATAACATGAAATGCTATTACCACAGTCCATAGATTATCCTTGCAGGTGTGCATTACTCACTTCATTTCAGATCCTTAGCATGAAGGATGAAGACTTAGGGAGTGGAAGAGGGATGGGTGGGAAGAAGATGATTGCTATCCACAGATCCTAGCTGCAAAAGCTTCATTTTAGGTTGTCATAATTAAGATAATCACTTCAATACATATAAAAAGTCTTGAGACAAATTGATCCCTGATAGCCTCAGGAATGGATGCAAAATAATCATGCACCTTTCTAAAACTGCCTTAAATCAGCATAGCTCTAGGTAAACATGACAGCAGTGAGTTTCAATGCAACCAGTTGCTCTCTCCTGAGGTGAGGGTTCTCTTGACAGCAGGAACTTGTCCTGGTTTCATTGCTATAGAATCCTAGGTCTGCCATGGACTGCAGGCCATCAGCAGCTTCAAGTCAGCCAGTGAAGCTGACCTGAGCTGGCTCATAGGTATGTCCCATCCCATATACGTCACGCTCAGTATAAAGGATGAAGTTTGCTGAAACAAAGGGGTGAAGTTTGGTTCTCCTGCTTCTTTCCATCCCTGGAAAGGCTCAGTTACCATTCTGATCCTATGGACCACTTTCCCTTTTATTTTGACTGCTGTACATTCACTGGGCTGAGTACAGATTTTATACTTTATATCGATGTTATTATTAAAATCAGTTTGGGCATTTCATCTGTTTTCTTTTCAACCCACAGGTCTCGATTCCCTTTACAGAATTCCCCTTCTCATCTGGGGAGGGGTCATCAGGTGATAGAACAAGTGCTCTAGTTTAGCCCTGGAGAGGAGCTAAATGCACTCCGTTCAGGCTGCTTCTCCTCAGATGAGAGGCATGTTGCATCAAAGAGTGAAGGGAGTAGGCAGAATGTCTTGAAACAGGGTATAAAATGGAGAAGGGAAGCTGAAAAGTTACAAAAGATGAGAAGACTAAGAGAAAAGGAAAGGTAAGAGAACAGAACCAAGGACAATGGGGGGAAAAAAAAAAAAAAGAGGAAAGTACACAAAAGAGGAACTGGCAGATTTTTATTTCTGTCTCAAAATTCTGTATATTTGCTAAGTTTCTCTTCATACCTTACATATGATGAAACTGGTCCTTAAAGTCAAAACAAGCTGAAATGTAATAAATCTTGAATTATTTGTGTTACCATCTGTATTACCAGCCTGTTACTTTACACAGTGTTAGAATAAAATCCCTCTGAATAACACATTTGAACTCAGGGTTTCAGAATCCATGTCTATGAAAAGAAGAAATAAATCCTCCTTTTTTACAACAAATATTGCAGTTATTGCTTTGAAAGAACACATGCTCATCAAATAAAAATCTGTATCACTGTACCACTGTATCTGTACCACTTTGTCCCTCTATTAACTTACTGAAAACAATTCAGAGGCACCAAGCAGTTTCATCCAGCAGACACCACAGTTACAGGCTTTCTATAACTCTTGTTCTGTCAGGAACAACACAAGTTATCACACTTAGCCCACTGGAGATTCAAACAGTTCTTGATCACCAGTGCTTGCGGAAAAGCCAAAGAAATGTATTTAGCTTAAAAAAGTTCAATGCAACGCGTGTACATGTACAAATCTAGAGTCCACATTTTCCACAAAAATTAAGAACAAGTTTTTTCCACTAGAATCATAATATCCTTTTCTTCAATTGACATGTAAACACAGATCTAAAAGGCCTTGTTTTCAAAAGTGCTTACATCAATGCAGGCCTAATGCTTTTGAAAAACTGTTTTTTTAGAAAAAGCTTTGGCTGGGAGGAGAGGTGGCTGACTTATTTTACTTGTGAACTCCTAAGTTATTCAGAATTACTGCCTGTGAAGGTTAAACAAATAAACGGGAACAGGAAAGGTTAAAGATATAGTTTCTATTTCTGATGCTTCTTTAGGGGAAAAAAATGTCAGGTAAAGAATATGACATGTAGATGCCATCATCACTTGAAGTGCTCTGAAATTCATCAGATGCTATAACATCATTGTTTCTAAAATGCCTTGGTCACAAATGTTAAGAGAAGCCTTATCTGACTTAGTTTAGATCAATTTCTCAGAACATGGAAGCCAAAGGTAAATTGACAAAAAAAAGAGTCAAGAAAGTTAATAAAGGGGGGAAAAAAAAAAAGCAAAACAAAACAAAAAAAGAACAAACCACATCCTACGGAAGTAGTAAAAGCAGTAACTATTAAGATCATGTTTCACCTGGTTCTCATGCTCTGGTTTCTTCTGATTCCCTTTCCTTACTTGAACTGTTATGTTAAAAATACTGAAAAAAAAAATAAAAAGTAAGAAAAAGCAATAAATATACCCAATTGCAGAAGATTTATAGATCCTTATTTATCCTTAGCTGGAAGGTTTGCTGTGTGCTTTAATTACCTGTAGAATTTTACAAACATTAATTATAATCACCTCTCTATATAATTTTATTATCTTCATTTTTCACGACAGGAAAGCTGAAGCAGAAGGATTAAATGAAGTGTAAGTAATGTGAAGTACAGGTGTTTACCAAACACAGCTTCAGCTGTCCAATTTTAGGTACCTACAGTTCAAAATGTAAATACCATTGATTCATCAAAACTTAGAAGAGTTCAGAGTTTATTTAGAATTGGTATCAGTGCCTTTGCACCTTCCAATTATGCCAATTCCCCCGCTGTGGGGA